AGCAACCCTAGTAAATCAACACTAATGCCGAATTCTTTAATTTTTTTTTTGCTTTTAGCGACAGTTTTCTAAAAGTAAAAAAATTGCACTTTTAAACATTATTTACAGTTTTCTTTCTGAGATGAAAAACTTTCAAATAAATATTTAGTCATTTTCAGATAGTGAATAGCATAAGTCATTATCAACTTGTTATAAAAATATCGAAGATAAACCTGGTCAACGAAAGGCGACCGATCACTATACGGGTAAACTTCTAGGTCAGCGTACTTTTTAGCAATTTCTCTCCACGCTGTCACAGCAGGAATCATTTCATGAAATTTAACCACCTAGAAAATTATACTTAAAACTATACAAAAACTATATTTTACTTTACATTTCATAAGGCTCTAATGTTTTTTTTTAATAATTGAATTAACTTCTACCTACCTTATGGAAATTAGTAAGAACAATAAAAGCTTTAATGCAAGCCGGATCATTTTCATAACATGCACTCTCGTTCATTTGAACAAATGAACTCAAAAAGAAGTATGTTGTCGAGTTGAAAAATGTTGGAATCTCCACATAAGTAAACTCGTCTGTCTCGCTGTAAACGCTGAAAAAGAAGCGAAGAAGGATAGGTCAGTAACTTTTAGAAAAAGAAATATTTGATTTCAACAAAAAATATTTCTGAGGAGATTGCGTAAGATTGCCAATGTCACTGGCACTTGAAGAGCCGAAACAATTAGCGATTTTGGACACCAAATAAGCCTTTTTGGAATTCCAGTTACACATTCAAGACATAATTCTAGCCCATAGTTATACTTTCCCTCCCTCTTCAAGCCGCCCATGAGATCAAAAAATATTATAAGTAACTAAACTAAAAGTCAAAAAATAAATTTCCTGAACAATTTCAAACTTTGAAGATTTTCAAAGAAAAAAAGAAAAAGAAAATTGAAAAAAAAAAATGAAGAAAATTTCAAACTCTTAGTACTATTAGGTAGATATTGCTGATGAAACAGCTAGCAAAAAATTGTTACCTCAAAAAGTCCTCATATTGCTTGAACCAGAAAAACGTTGACTCATTACCATAACTATAAATGCAGTTTTCATATTCGCGTACCATATTTTTGATTCCTATAACACCACAAAGCCATAAGATTTTTACGTCAATTAAAATTATTAAAATTATTAAACTGCATTTATTCATTCTTTGAGGCAAAAAAATTTTTTTTATTTACTTTCAACTTGTTTTGGGTTTCGTAAGTCACCGGGCTTCATAATAAGTATGGAAATTGGCATCATATCCCGCAATGCCGTTTCGTATGTATATTGAAACTCATGTAGATAAGAATCGGGTAGTGCCATTTTATCAATAGATATATCCGAACGAAGGTTTTGTATTCCAACCACTGAGATATAATAGTATACAAGCATAATTGCAAGCAGTACAAACCTGCAATCAAAATTTTAAATTGAAAAGGGATTTTAAAGTGTAGATCTTACAATAAGCAAAAATTACACCAATTTTTTAAATGATTACTTCAAACAAATACTGGTATTTTGTACATTAACAAATACACTTTTTTTACCTCGTGTGCCATTTGGTGGCAAGATGTGACCAGTTTTTAATTATCCAAGCTTGAAAATTGGTAACCCATTCAACAGACCGGTTATGTGCCTAAAAACACTAAATTTTTGTATTAAAGAACAATAGATATTGGTGGTGTATTGATGATCTCTAACTGTTAGTAAGAAAATTAATAGTTTAATCTGCAAATAACTTCACCTGCGGATTCGCTTTTAGACAACAGAGTATCGACTGGTACCCTTTTCTTTCTCTTATACCGCTTAGCGCTAAAACTGAGGAGAATAGGAGCAACTGGTAGAAGTAACAAATTACTATCGCAATACACGAGTAGATGGAAAATGTTCGTACAGCCGGTGTTTGAGATGTGATACCGATTGCAAATGAAAGTGCATTTGTCAAAGAGCTGCAGTAATGATACGATGATAAACTGGTGGCATTTTTGGGTCTTTGTGAAAAAGTGTTTATAACACCTACCTAATAGTAATAGATGGACCTGCATCTTCCAGTGTCTTAGCTAATCTTTCGTTAATAGGTGCATCTGTTTGTGTTTGATCCCAAGCCCGAAGTATGATAAACAAGTCATCGACACCAACAGACAGAACAAGAAACAGCGAAGCTACAACAATCGATTGAAACTGAAGCCCAAACGCCGATATGATTCCAGTAGATGTTACAAGTGCCATTAATGGGATTATACAACCGAAAAGCGACTCCCATGGTTTACTTCGAGCCGGATTCTGCCTACAGTTTCAATAACTGTTAAATATTTATCAAATTTATGTGCTCATGAAATAGCGAAAGTTTGATAGATTAACAAAATTTTAAAGTTTTTGGCAGTCTTCAGTGTACCTAAATGAGCCACATACAACAAAAACAATTATAGCAGCCATAGATCCGGCAATTAAAGGAGCAGTTTCGAAGCCCATACGCCGAACTTCTTCAGAAATCAAATTATCACCAGTCATGCCAACCTAAAAATATTGTGTAAAATTTTCATTTTCTGATAAAAACCTGCTACATAGAATTATATGGTCAAAGGGTATTTGTAAAACTGTATTCAGAGACATTTTATGTAGTTTCTCTGTTTGTCATATAATATTTTTACAAGCTATAATTATTTTAAAAACTTACGAATAAATAAAGGATTGGATAAGTTAAATAGAAAAATATACTGAACAAATCCATACTTTTAGTATGCTCCATTCATCACGTTTGAATTCACGTTGGGCGGCTAAAACCCATTGGTACAACATATCCCTACGTTTTTCAGGACCGACTATAAAGAATGGTTCAACAGCGGTTGAGAAACTTTCCAGAAATTTAGTGCCAGGTTTTAATTTTATTCCGTAGACACTGTTGCCTATAAGTATTACCGATAAAGTTAATAAATTTTAGTCAGTTTGATTTACTTGAGAACAATGGCTTTTCAAAAACTAAATTAAGTGAATTTTTTAAACACAGTTGTTTCATTTGGTTTTGAGAACAAATACATTAGCAGGTTTCATGTTCTCTGGCCTTTAAATTTGTAAGATGAAGGAAACTTTTTTGGTTTTTCTAGTTTAAATAAGACCCAAAACAGTTTAAAAAATCGCACTGTTTTGTTAATAAAAACCGTTTTACACTTATGCAGTAATATGACAGAAATTGAAAAATTAACTGACAAAAATATAATGCATTTCCTCTTATGTTTTGTCGTTTCTCTATTTACTAAAGCTTATTTTGTATTTATTGGTTCAATACGACTTTTATAATCACTCAGAAAATTTACGTGATTAAAACGTTACGCTTTTTTCAGGTTTCTTTATACAGTTTTCGTCTCACAAATGTTGTTTTACTTGAATATAATTATTGGGAAAAAATAAATTTTGCACTTTCTCAAAAACAGTCTATTGTAAAAAGCAAAAAACTTTTTAGACGTTATTTTGTGATACAAATTTGTCTTTAGTCCAATAATTTCAAAAAACCTCCTCTATTATCATCTTCAGTGTACCAACAGTAGATGATAATAATGCGTAAAATAACAGCAATCTTAAGTCTACTTCTACGCCTTACAAATTTGGGACAAAAAAGTCTTAATTTTAATAAAGTATGTAGATAATAATTTTTCAGCATTAAGGATTCTTCCTGCCTGCGATTTCTTCTTCTTTTTATATCTTTTTAAATTTTTTTTTTTTTTTTT